TACAATGTCCTGATCACCTTTTTGGTGACGGAGTCCATTGTAATGAGTGTCCCAGGGGTTTCCAAGTGGAGAAAGGTTTCTGTTACAAAATAAGTGATGAGTCGGAAGAGGTAGCACGGCTAGAAAAAGTTGAAAAAACGGACAGAGTATTAGCGGCACCAGCGTTTGTGGTAATCTTCACTATTTTACTGATTTTGTGCTATGTTACACTTTACAGAGGCTCTAACCCCTTAAAACTCTTCGGAAAAGGACAAAGCACCGTTAAAGTGAGGATGACAGACGTTACAGAGACAGAGGAGCAGGAGGAGGAAAACAATTTTGCCAATAGTGAACCATCATTCCCAGTAAAACTTACAGAAACGCAGATGGGAGAAGGTTTGGATGACGGCGATAATGCCGTGAGAGAAATGTGTATTGGGCGTGGAATTGATGGTGGAGATAACGGTGAGGAAGAGAATACTTACGAAGATATAAACCATATTTTATAGAATTGAAAGGAGGAAATATTGAGAATTATTTGAGATGAAAGGACGACAAAGCTCAATGAGCAGAAAAATTAATAGAAATTAATAGAAAGTTTAGTTTTCGAAGTTATTTTTCTTCAAAAAGCCGGGTTAGATTAATTGAAAAATAAAAAATAAATTTGTTTAATTGAAACTTGAAAGTGTAAACAAAACGTTCATGAACATTATCTGAGTGAACGAAATTTATGAAGATTTTTTTAATTTATGATGATTTTGATTTCTCGTATTTGCTCTTGAATTATTAGTATTTAATGTTCTTCGTTGTATTCTAATAATCAATTATTCATTTAGAAATGCCACTTTCATTTTTAACTCTCATTTGGTATTAAATAATGAACCAACCGAAAACTACAAACAAAAATGTTTCTTTTTCCGGTTATGTAATACTAAATTCGTTCAAAATAGGGTAGTAATCGATACCATACCTGTCATGATTTTCCTCGAAACGTGCAGTTTCTTTGGCAAAGGTTGACAGGTCATTTGATAAATCTCTTAAATCTCACATATTTGAACCATTTAGTCATGACAAACAATGTAAATAATGATCAAAGTTTCCAAAAATCATCAGGCATTTTCATTAAAAATAAAATCATCACTGTAAAAATAAGTTATAAATAAAGCTGTCACACATAATGTTAGTCCAAGACAGCAACAAACAAGTGGATCTGGATAAAATCTTCTCTTAATTTGACATCCACTAAATGTCAGTTTCCTTACTTTTATGGCATCTTGCATGTTCTTAACTACAATAATATCACATAATATTTATTACAATAGGGTATTTGCGGTCTGCAGCTATCAGGATTTCTTATGTATCAAGCTTCATATCCACAAAAATTGTTTGTTTCGTGTAGTCATAAAGTCTAGCTGTGGTCTGTTCTTCAATCTGTCAGACAAAATAAGAAAGACGGCTCCTGTCATTAAACTCTTGTCCAGTACGTTTCGTCGATTTGCAGTTTCAATTTATTCGTTCACCATAACTGTTCATGTTACTTTCATAACTAATATTCACCCAGCCATGTGGTATCATCAACGCTCAGTGATCAACCCTAGGATAATTTGCGTCCTTACCTTATTCATCAGATTTTCTGGTAAGTGAAAGATCAAATTCAAAATGTTCTTTTTCAAAAATGGTTCTTTTTCAAGAATTGTTCTTTTTCAAAAATTGTTAATTTTTATGATAATAATAGTAAAATGCGCTGGTGATAAAAGCCTTTAAGTAAGTATCACGTTTGATCAAGATGATGTTTTTGAACAACTATTATTTTTAATTTCAGGAAATTTCGCAACAGTTGTGCCGAACGAAGTCCAGTTCTCCATCTGGAGTTCCAGTACAATACAATCCAACACTGGCGTCCTCATGGCTAGTATAGAGGGACGACAGAACACTCCCATTTGCCGCAGATACAGCTCTATGGACTATCATCCTGACAGTCCGTCCGCTCAGTATATCTGCGAGAGTATGAACTACAAAAAACTGGAATCAACCGGGAGTCTGCAGAATGACTATAGTTTCGCTGAGGCGTACAAATCAGAAGAGAAGATTTTCAACCTGACATGTTCAAATTCTACTTCGTGCGAATACATTACGCTCTACTCGTGCTATTACAGGAACAGCAACAACAAGAGATTCTACTACGCCAAGATATCTTGCTCGGGCTGTAAAGCCAACTCTTTCGTATCTGGAAATCTTTGTGTTTCTTGTCCAACAGGTGCTACTTCTCCAGAGGACTCAACAACCTGCAATTGTAGAGCAGGCCAATACTGGTCAAACGGAAACTGTCCACTTTGTCTTAAAAACACTTTCAGTAGCCTGGGTTCCACATCCTGTAACCAATGTCCTGGAAACTCAACCTCCTCCTCCGGATCAGATATCTGTTATTGTCCTTCAGGAATGTCCTGGTCAAATGGCAACTGCACAGCTTGCCCGGCAAACACCTATAGCATAGCTGGCTCCAACGAATGTACGTCATGTCCAGCTGGTACAACATCAGTCGCTGGATCAGGAATGTGTGCCTGCAATGCGGGGGAACACTGGTCTGATGGGAATTGTCATGCCTGTTCGGTTAACACTTACAGTCTCACAGGAGCTTCTGATTGTACAGCATGCCCTAACGGATCTACTTCTTACATTCAATCAAAGAAGTGTAGATGTACGGCGGGGCAGTTCTGGTCTAACGAAAATTGTTCAGTGTGTCCAGCAAACACTTTTAGTTCTAGTGGATTCTCTCATTGCTCTGAGTGCCCGGCTAATTCCACATCCTCCCCCGGATCTGAGATTTGTGACTGTGATGCTGGTCTGTACATGTCAGACTATGGAGTGTGCAGCCCATGTCCCACAGACTTCTACAGTCCCGCGTCTGGTAGCACAGATTGTTTGTCATGTCCGGCTGACAGCAACTCAACAGTGGGATCGTCATTCTGTACTTGTAATCCTGGACAATTCTTCAATATCACAGCGGAAGCTTGTGAGGAATGTGCTGAAGACAGTTACAGTGACTGGTGATTCCCTGACCTGCGAGACATGTGTACCTGGATCACACAGTGCTCCTGGATCTGACCACTGTAATTGCTCTGGAGGTCTGTTCATGGACGGAGGTTACTGTAAGATCTGTCCTGATAACTTTTACAGCTACTCCGGTGACACAAATTGTACTGCTTGTCCAAACAATTCTACATCGTCTCCTTACCAGGCATTCTGTACTTGCCCTGCTGGAAATTACTGGAATTTTAACAAAAGTATCTGTGAGGAATGCTCCTACGATCACTTTATGAACGTTACCAACAGTACCGGGTGTATGGAGTGTCCAGAAAATTCTAGATCTTGGAGAGGCTCCTCAAAGTGCTTCTGTAATTCAGGATATAAAATGGCTATTGGTAACACCACAGAATGTGAGATTTGCCCAGCAAATTATTTCAGCCAGTTTGGGGCAACCTATTGCAGAAAGTGTCCAATTTTCAAGACATCAAGACAAGGATCTGACAGCTGCTACAGATGTGTCTTTGGACAGTATTGGGCAGACCATGCTTGTTATCAGTGCCCAGATCACCTGTTTGGTGACGGAGTTCATTGTAACAGGTGCCCCCGGGGCTTCCAAGTGGAGAGAGGTTTTTGTTACAAGGTAAGTGACCAGTCTCAAGATATCAAGAAACTTCAAGCTAAGGATGAGCAATATGAGAATACTGTAAAATTACTGAGGAATGGGTTGATTGGGATTGCCGCTTTTCTGGCTGTAGTATTTTTGATCTGGAGCTATGTAAAATTTTGCCATCATAGCAATGTTCTTGATGACCCTGTTGTCGAAAAGGGGGTCTCAGTGGGATCGTTTACAACTAATACTCCACACAATAGAGCCAACTCTGTTACTCTGGTAGAAGATGGTGAAAGTGGTCAAAATGTTAATTTGAACAATCTGAACAGTGGTGATCAGGATCAAGATGTGATGGAAAATCATGATGAAATGAAGGAAACGAATGAGAACACATACGAAGACATTTGAGTATATTTGAGATAATCTAGACACGTCTACACAATACCATAACAAGGAAGACCTAGTGGAGGCAGGAAACATGCGTGAAGCAGCAGCATACACATAAAACTTTGGTCTGGAAAACATAAGATGACAACCATGACACTTGTCATATCAGGAAAATTGATGAATAACGCGACAGTAATTCAGACTGTATTTTCATTATCTGATTGTATCGTTTTTCATAATTTTTATTATATGAATAAAAATCGACGAACTGTATAACTTCCATTCTGATTCAAACATTTTAATGATAGGCGAAACAGTGCTTTATATTTTTTCCTTTTCACCCTTTTGAAAAAAGGCAATAGTGAAAGGTTACGAATGGACGTTTTTGCAGAAAAACGTGGATTTTGGAGATTGCAGTAGGTGGGTCTGAATATGTCGTCAGTCCTTCCTTACTTCCGTTAGTAACCATGCAACGAAAAAGTTGCGCGCGCGAGGATTGCTTGCGGAGATGTGATGTATAGATAGCCTGTGATCTATGAATGCGCGGCGCAACTGTGTTTTAATGTATACGATGTAATGTATAATATTAGGTTATAAGCCCAATTTGTACGTGGCACGCGTAGTGTATTGATGTGTACACGAGTATAGTTACCTTTGCTTACAATTTAAGTTCTTTGCTTTACAAGTTAAGTTCTTTGGCAATTGAACTGAATTTCAAGTGTTTCCTCAATTCCTGTACTTAATGCATAATTTATCAATATTATTATCATGAAGACTGAAGTGAGCTGATTGGAGCTTATACTTAAATTTATAGTAAATGTGAAATGGAAATCTAGCGTCCGCCAAAACGAAACAACGGGCGCAATTCTTGTTGTGACTCATAATTGATAATCTATATGATTTTATCAATCTATGTTATTTTTATGATTATTTCCCTATAAACGAAAAGTCAATTTAAGAGTTTCAACATTTAGTAATAATACAAACATTTGGCCAATGTAAATATATTGTTTTCCTCTAAGTTGCCATATTGTCATTTCTACCAATGCTTAAACTACTAAAGATAATTTTCCGTGGCGGAAACTGCGAGAAAATAAAATTCGTCAGGTATGTTTCCTAATCACCACTGGAATAGTGTTGGTCCATAACCAAGAAAGTTCTATGTGTCTTTCATCACAACATCTTTCGTCTCCCTGTTGTATATCAAAGTCATAATAAATCCCAAAACTGAAGCAGTAAAAAGCAGTCCAGTAACAATATTAGGATCCATGTAGTAGAAGACACTAACACTGCCAGTACCGAGAACCCCGCCAATCTTTCCAGCGCTGTTTATAAATCCCGTGGCAGTGGTCCGAATGTTTGTGGGGAAGGTCTCAGGGAATATTATCCAGAGGAGTGCATTAATGAAACCCCCGAAGAAGTTAGCCGCTGATACGAGGAAAACAGTAACTGTGCTGTTCATACAGAGAAACAGGGCAGCTATGACAAAAATAAATATGAAACTAGATATTCTAAGGGATAAACGACGTCCGAGAAAAGCCGCTGAAACTGTAGCCAGTATATTCCCAACAGCAAATGGAGCCGTGCTAATTGCTAGTTTGATCAGTTCTTCTTGAGTAAGTATGGAACAAGTCCGTGTTGATTGGTTTCTTGGAGCTGAACTACATCCGTTCTTTATAATCAGAGGCTGGTAAAGGATGAAAGCAAACGTTAAAAAGACACTACAAAAGTAAAGGACAGATAGAGTTACCGTAGATCTCTTATGTTGAGGACCAAAAATGACAGAATAAGAACCAAGATCTTCTTTTCTTGAGCATGATAACTTTAAATCAGATGGGAGATGCTTCTTGTTAAGTTTAGCCATAAACCTAACAGATTGAACCACTTTATCATCTTGTCCGCTGACCAGAAAATACCGAGGGGAGCCGGGAAGTAAGAATGTTAAAGCTAGAGCAGGAATCAAGGGTAAAGACATAACTATTATAAACCAACGCCAACCTATGCTATTTAACATTAACCAGGCAATAAAGTACAGTAAGGCGTAGGATGACGCAGCAACAATATTAAACATTGTCATCCCAATCAGGCGGTCCTTACTCTCAGAGAATTCCGTTGCATAGCAAATTATACAGTTTATGTTGGTTCCAATACAGGCTCCAGTGACACTCCGAACAACTATGAAGACCCATTTATTTGGAGAAAGTGCACTGGTTATTGTGGCTATAGTCATTATGATCATCGACCATTTAAGAACCAATTTTCTTCCAAATTTATCAGAGATCTTCCCAAATACTATAGCGAAAATAGCGTAGAATATAAAAACTGACATGCTGACAGCACCTTCAAATGCGGGTGACAACTTCCACTCACATCTTTGGAGCGGGATTATAACTGCAATTATACATATTTCCGACAAGTCGGAAACTGAAAGAAGTCCAGTTAGAAGCCAATACAAATATTGAGCAGGTCCTCGACCTATTATCTTGTACACTTCATCAAGATCCAACTCCTTTTCATCATCATCCTCAGGTGCTTTTTCAGTCGTGGTGGACCCATACTCTCCGTGCTTTTTGTCTAATAGAGTTTCTTCCATCTCTGTAATTTTAGTTTAACATTTCTTTATAAAATGTTGAGGAGGGGCTTGCCGTTTTCCTATTAAAATGTTTGGACTACTTTACTTAATGGTGAAAATAGTAAAGAAACGAATGTGCTGTCAAATTAGCGATGGTAAAAATTAAGCTTAAGAAACAAAAAGTCTAACAATTCCTGCCATGATGTCATCTAAACTTAAAGGTTTGTCTCATAAACAAAGGTCGAAATAATTCAATTGTATAAAAGTATAAAGCGGGAGTAAAACTTTGAACATCTGTAATACGAGTAACCATGGAGACGATGAGTTAAGTTAAAGAGGAAGTTTTCCTATAATAACTAACAAAGACCAGGTTATATATTGTACAATTAATTGTGTGCACAACATTGTGTGTACACTGTACACCACATCTAACTATGTGTAACGAAGAGCTAATATAGCCGGACCTAAAACTTTGTAAACAGACTGTTTACACGTGTGCTCGCTGCACATTGTTAAATGCGGTATAAAACGCGGTCATACCTCTGATGAATATATATTTGACCAAAATTTGAGAATAAATGGGCAAAATAGGTATCATTTTCATTATTTTTCGGTCGAAATGGGTCAAGATTTAGTCAAAATAGAAAAAAAAATATATATATATTATATATTTCTGATACTAATATTATACTCCATATAATATACTCCATATAATAGAGCTAAAATATAGCTGTATTTGCTAACTAGAGGACGGCGAAAACGTTGGACAGTATCCAGATAGCCCGACACGAGTTCGCAATTTATGATTGGAATACTAAGATGACATATAATTTTTTACTATTTTCACCATTAAGCAATGGAGCTGGAGTTCAAACATTTTTATAGGGAAATGATAATGATCCCTCCACCCCCCGGCCCTAGTTTTTATAAAGAAATGTTAAACTGAAATTGCAGGTATGGAAGAAACACTGATGGATTTAAAAAACGAACAGTACTATCCCATTCGCTCATCTTACTTTAATTTGTGTGTCCGCAATGTTGAGCGTACATTAACACTTACATTGAGCACTGCTATTGCGGTCCTTTATGTTGGTAGTTGTTACTTTTGCTGAAAAATTTTATAAATTTTTGTTTTATTTATTTATTTCTTTGAGTTCAGCCTGGATTAATTTTTTTGGGCATCCAATTTTGCAGACATACTGGCCTGTTATTGACGCTGATTGATCCATCACTTCTGCCAAAATCAATGCGTTTCTAAATTTGCTGATACATGTTATAGACTTAAATTGTTACTTGTCTTCAATAACTATTCTACAGAGTACAGAGATGGCAGAAACTCTTTTAGACAAAGGGAACGAAGATTACGGGTCGATAACAACTGAAAGAGAACCTACGGAAGATGATGAAAAAGAGCTGGATCTTGATGAAGTGTACAAGATAATAGGTCGAGGACCTGCTCAGTATTTGTATTGGCTTCTAACTGGATTGCTTTCAGTTTCCGACATTGCAGAAATAGGTATGATTGCAGTTATACTCCCGCTCCAAAGATGTGAGTGGAAGTTGTCACTCACATTTGAAGGCGCTGTCAGCATGTCAGTTTTTATCTTCTACGCAATCTTTGCTGTAGCATTCGGAAAGATCTCTGATAAATTTGGAAGAAAATTGGTTCTTAAATGGTCAATGGTCGTAATGACTTTAGCTACAATAACCAGTGCACTTGCTCCAAATAAATGGGTCTTCATAGTTTTTCGGAGTATCACTGGAGCCTGTATTGGAACTAATTTGAACTGTATTCTTTGCTACGCAACGGAATTCTCTGAAAGTAAGGACCGCCTGATTGGGATGACAATGTTTAATATTGTGACTTCGTCAGCTGCTGCGTTAGTCCACTTTATTGCATGGTTAACGTTGAATAACATAGGTTGGCGTTGGTTTATAATAGTAATGTCTTTACCCTTTATTCCTGCTCTAGCTTTGACATTTTTTCTTCCCGGCTCGCCTCGTTATTTTCTGGTCAGTGGGCAACACGATAAAGCACTTCAATCTGTTAGATTTATGGCCAAGCTTAACAAGAAGCATCTTCCATCTGACTTAAAGTTAACATGCTCAAGAAATGAAGATCTTGGTTCTTATTCGGTCATTTTTGGCTCTCAGCATAGGAGATCTATGGTAACTCTATCTGTCCTATATTCTTGTAACGTCCTCATTGGGTTTGCGTTTTTCCTTTACCAGCCTCTGATTATAAAGAACGGATGCAGTTCGGGGTCCAGAAACCATTCAACACGGACTTGTTCAATTCTTGATCAAGAAGAACTGGTTAAACTAACTATTAGCACCGTTCTACTGGTCGTTGGGAATATACTGGCTACAGTTTCCGCAGCTTGTCTGGGACGTCGCCTATCCCTGAGAATTCCGGGTTTCTTTTTAATGATTTTCATAGCTGCTATGTTCTTTTGTGTAAACAGCACAATTACTGTTTTCGTCATCTCAGCGGTAAACTTCTTCGGGGGTTTCATTAATGCAATCCTCTGGATAATATTTCCTGAGACCTTCCCCACAAACATTCGAACCACTGCCACAGGTTTTATTAACGGCTGTGGGAAAATTGGTGGCGTCCTTGGTTCTGGTATTGTTAGCGTTTTCTACTACATGGACCCTCATATCGTGACAGGACTGATCTTGATTGCTTCGGTCTTGGGATTTGTGATGGCGTTAATATTCAAAAAAGAGACGAAGGATGTCGTGATGAAAGACACATGAACGTTACTTTTTGTCTTCCTACTATTGCTGTGTGCATGTCACATTTCACTAGAAGTTTATTAAGCTTTAAAATCAATTTACCTTTTCAATACGGGACGAAATATTTGATGTATTGTATTTTTGATTTCGATGAAATCTGCTCTAGATAAGAAATATTTTAAAGAAAATTTGTATACCTTACGAGACATTTAAAAGGTAAGAAAGTCGGTGGTTTTCGAAAAAAACACCATATTTTCGGACAAAAATTTAGGTAACTTTTATTATTTTTCACGTATTTCTTTAATTATGACTTTGTCGATTTGCTATCAAAATAATATACATTTTCACTGCTTAACAACTACTTTTATTGCTTACTGTATTGAAAATCTCCCAAAAAAGATGAAAAGATTTCGGATAATAGATGGTTTTTAATGCGGGATGTCCTGTCAAAAAGCGTTCGATAAGGTATGTTTGGCGACGGATTAAACGGCCGACTGTTTCCGGGATCCCTGCTTATCTCTTCCACATCTTACTATATATAAAGCGAGACGATATATATATATATATTTATCTGTGCCATTTTACTGACACCACGGCATCAACTTTAACGCGAATTTCTGCAAAAACCGTAAAAGATATACAACTGAAACTTTTTTGACTGGGTCAAATGCTTTAATGGCCTCCAAATCAGCATGAAAAAATAAAAAATTGGCCAAGAAATAGGAGTTTTAGAGCCCAAAATTTGGTACCCCAAGTGGTGTCAAAAATGCGAATTAAATAGGTAATAATTGTTTTAGTCTCTTGAGTCTTGACACCATTTTAGGGTTAGACGGGTTCCTGCTAGTTCTACTAACACCTACAAAATAACTGATAGCTGAAACAAAAGAATTATTTTAAAAAAGATTAAAAAAAGAAAAAAAGAAAAAGGTATATGCACATAGCCATCAAGGTTGGATGGCCTGTGTACTCGATGATGCGGCTGACTTTACAGGTGTCGATAACATCAGCAGAGACGCAGTAAAACAGTTAGCCCTAAACTGAGTGGAATGGAGGAACGTGTGTGATGCAGACCACTCCAACGACTAGGAGGAGACCTCTTCATGTAGCATGTATGTAACCTTTTTCTACTTGTTAGAGATGTTGCTTATATATTTCCAGTTCTATATATTATTATGCCTTTAGTTTATATTATAGGACCTTTGGCTTATATACTTTTACCTTAACTTTGTTATCTCTCAGGATATATTGTTATATAATCTACATGTTCCTGTGATAATACTTCGAACACACTTTCATTATACTCAGTTGTGTATCATTGCCCCAGACTATTATAACAGGCCTACACTTCACGCAATACAGCCCTACACTCTACTGCTCTACAGTCCTTACTCGTAGAAATGCGAACTTGAAAACATGTGCACACTGCACTGCAAGTTGTGGGAATCATGGTATCATGTTATCACTACACATTGTTAAATGAGGTACAACGAGGTCACACACTTACTCAATATATTTTGACTTTATTTGACTGTGTTGCTGTTGTTATGATTAGGGCGTGAGACATGAAAAAAAAGGACTCGCGAAAATTCTCATATTTTCAATTGATGTCACTGTTATTTTGTTTTTGTACATAAATTAGGGTTAGGGTCCTATCTCCGTAATGTTTTGCAAACGCCCACGAGCCCTGTTTTTTCACGGCTCGACGCCGACTAGCCTAGAGTCTCACGTCCAAGAGTCCTGGACCCGCTATTTATGTGCTTTAAAACAGTTTCGCTTTCTCCAATTGCAACTTTAAGTAGTCCTGTATTTTAGGACGCCTCTCTAGAGTCCCGGACCTGCGATTTAAATTGTCTCCAACATTTGTAACAGGCTATCTGTGGAAATGGGTAGCACGGTTAATGACCATGGTCCTTTCTCAAACTTTCAATCCTCAGTTAGGTACAAAGAATAGTCTACAAATTTTTTAATAACATAAAAAGGGATGAGAATCACTTTATTTATGAAAAATATCGCGTAACAACATTTACATAAGCCCCCTCCCGGGTTGCAACATTGCCATGTTACGCAAATAATTGCCGCGCTAACGAAATATTTGCCATCTTAGCAAAATATGCGCCGTGTTATGATGTATTTGCCAGGCTGCGCGTGATGATGCAATTATTTCATAAGGAGGCGAATTTTACGTTAGGAAAATGCGCATTCTTAGCAAAATATTTGCCAAACGGTCAGACGCGCGCTGCACGCTTCTTTTCAGTTTGTTTACGCGAGAATGAAATCTTCGC